CAGGAGCGTGTGGAAGCGGCTCGTATGGCGGAGGATCTGGCCCGGCAGGCTGCAGAATTGGCCTTCAGACAGCTGGAGGAAGAGCACACCACGCAGATCATCATTGACACGAAAACTGAAGAGCCGGACAATGAGGAGCAGTAAGTCACAAACTCAGAGAGGAACCATGTTCTGTGTTTGTTAAGACTGAGATCTGGGGTGTGATAAACCACAAAGTGGCTACAAAAGTTATTTGCGACCAATGCTCTGTCTCTATATCTCTCATACTATCCCTTTCTCTCTGTCACACACACACACACACACACACACATACAGTGTTCAGAATTCACCTGTTCACTGTTTGTTTTACAAAGACTGCCAAATATCCAGGAGAAAGAGAATGAAGAAGATCCAGAGTAAGTGTCTCCCCTCCCTTCCGCTCTCACTATTTGCTTTTTGCCAGGGTCCAAAATTAACACTCGTCAAATAACAAAAACAAGTCATAATAGTCTTTGGCTTAGAATTAGAGCTAGCTTTTTGTTTATTTCTATTAGCTTTGTGGTCATCTATATGCTTCGTTACATTACACTTCATTACATACATGTGCATATTCCTTGTTCTAACCAAAATAATATTACGATTTACAAAATACGTTTTTTAAGTTTTTGAAAGAAGATTCTTATGTTCACCAAAAATACAGTAAAAACAGTAATATTGTGTTATGTTATTATAATTTTAAATAATTTTGAATATATTGTAAAGTGTAATTTATTCCTGTGATGCAAAGCAGAATTTTCAGCATCATTACTCCAGTGTCACATGATCCTTCAGAAATCATTCAAATATGCTGATTTGCTGCTCAAGAAACGTTTATTATTATTATTAATGTTGAAAACAGTTGTGCTGCATAATAAATCTGTGGAAACCATGATGCATTCTTTTCATGAATAGAAAGTTCAAAAGAACAGCATTTATTTGAAACAGAAATCTTTTGTAACATTATAAATGTCTTAACTGACACTTCTAATTAATTAAATGCGTCTTTGCTGAATAAAAGTATTGATTCGTTTTTTTTTAATCATCATTTCGCCACCAACTTGACATCCCCTGTAAACAGTGCCGACATGAAAAGGTATGTTAGACTGGCCTACATTAGTTTGTGATTATTAAGCAGATTTTTCCTACATTATATCTTATGCTACTCGTATTCTACTATAACACTATCTAAGATGTGCCACAAAAAGTATTTACTAGTAGACTTTTGTTATGCTACCCCACTACTGCGCTAACAGCTGGGCTACTGAAAAATTAAATTAGTAGCATTGCTACTTTTAGTACTTTTAGAGGATGTATTACCACTCTTTCCATTCTTTACAAGCAAACATATGTGAAAGGAATACAAAAGTTGAGGTGCTGTCAAGACCAGCATTGTCACCATCATACAGTTTGTTGCATTTGCTGGTAGTCCTCAGGAGAGAAAATGAGAATTTGCTGAACATTTACTCACCCTCAGGCCATCCAAGATGTAGATGAGTTTGTTTCTTCACCTGAGAAATGTAGCATTACATCTTTTGCTCACCAATGGATCCTCTGCAGTGAATGCTTTTTCACTCTAAAACATCCGTTCAGCTGAGTACAAATGTGATTGTCTGTCAGAATTTTGAGAATCCAATAACTTGTTTTTGTCAGCTCCTTTGAGTTTTATCTGGTCAACACCTGCAGATCTGATTGGTGGCTAACGAGCCTCTGAACGTCTGGGATTGACTGGTTGTCATGATTAGACTTCTGCTCAAACCCCTTTTTCAGGAGCCTGGTGGATGTCTGCCCAGCGGAGCCTTCGCCACACGAGTCTGAGGTCTCAGATCAGGCACCACAAAGTCCTCCACCACCGCCTGTGACCAGTCAGCCTCAACGGACATCTTTACCTCCTTATGCTGACCAGGTAACATTGCTTAAAGGGGTCATATGATGCGATTTCAATTTTTTCTTTCTCTTTGGAGTGTTACAAGCTCTTGGTGCATAAAGAAGATCTGTAAAGTTGCAAAGATTAAAGTCTCAAATCAAAAGAGATATTCTTTGTAAAAGTTAAGAGTCAGCCACACCAACCTAAAACGGCTCGTTCTAACACGCCCCCACATGTCTACGTCACGATGTGGGAAGATTTGCATAACGCCACCCAAATGTTCACGCAAAGAAAGAAGGCGTAACTTTTATTCTCACTGTAGTATTGTTGCTGCCGCCGCCATGTCGTGAAGATGCTGTGTGTTTCGTTGTGAAAGTGAAACTACTTTGTTTGGCCTTCCAAAAGAGGACGATATCTGCTTCGTCATGCTTGGAGCTGATCCGTGCTGGTCGCTGAGGAAATACTACAACTTTGCGCTGTGGATCGCCGGATCGGCTTTCACCGTGGACGAAGCGGAGTCCAGCCCGGGGTCGTCACATGTGGTTGCCGCAAGCCCTCCGGACGCTCCTTCGTCGAATCCGCTGGCCGCGCCGTTCTCAAGCCCAACGCCTCTGCTCACTCTAGCCCTCCGGCCGTTATGTCCCCACTGGATGTAACGAATGCCTCGTTTATAATGGGTTTTCATGTTTTTGAATCATTGCTCCGGCCTGACAGGGCATCATCACAATATGGTAAGGGCGTAACATTTCCGTCACACGCTTGAGGTATTCGGCCAATCATAACGCACTGGCTAGCTGGCCAATCACAGCAGACCTTGCTTTTCAGACCGATGAGCTTTGTAAAAATCGATGCGTTTCAGAAAGGCGGGGCATAGAGGAGAAACAATAATGTACAGTATGTGGAAAATAATGTGTTTTTTGAACCTTAAACCGCATAAACACATTTCATTACACCAAATACACCAAATAATGTTCTTTTTAGCAACATCATATGACCCCTTTAAAACAATTTCAGAAGTTTCAGAAGGTATTGTAACTTTTAGAAAGGAATTGATATTTATTTTCACCAAGGCAACATCTAATTGATCAAAAACAGACATTATTATTACCGTATTTTCTCAAATACAAGCCGCATGTTTTATGATCGAAAACGTGCTGCGATTTATATTCTATAGTGACTATTACTAAACATGCATGAAACACACACATTTGGATTTGTTGAATGAGATAAACATGAGAATATTTATAGTGCTTATAATGTTTGTAAAGGTTTTATGTTATTTACATGTATTTTACATTATTTCTGAATATAATGATCAAATATGACTTGCAGTATATATCTTTTTTTTTTTCTCTCAACAATGCAGTTTTGACCCTGAGCAACTTATAGTCAGATGCAACTTATTTTTCAGAAATGTACTATTTGAAAGTAATTTTTTATGATGTAATGTTTACTTGTGGTAGCAAAGCAGTTACAGTTACGCATTTTATAAATTTATGCTTTTATCGAAAGAAACTTACATTGCATTAATAAATTCAAGGTACAGTACTGTATACATTTTAGCAATTCATAAGTTCCCTGGAAATCAAATCTATTGCGTTTGCATTGCTTGCAGTAATGCAATTATGAATTATATTATTGAAATGAGTTCATTTGGTGCTTTAGAAACTATTAAATTAATGGGATGAATGAGAGAAAATTTTGAATATAATTAATGCATAAAGAATCCATAAAGCCTTCTTAATTGTCATTGCAGCAAGCAGATGATTCTTTTAAGAGATATTTTGAATAACACAGCATTTAATTGAAATAGAAATAATCATTTGTACATGTATTATTTTATTTGTTTATTTATTTTTGTTCAATTAATCTTAAAATAAATCTTTCTTTCAAAGTCAATATCTTTCACACTGTAAAAGATTGTCTGTAAATAAAACAAAGATTACAATAAAATACTATATCAGTCTTTATACTTTCAAATTTCATGTTTCGTACAACAAGTTACATGCTGTTTCTTTATAATTATTTGTGAAATTTAATAGCAATTTCTGAGTGAACATTTTTCAGAGCCTTTTTAGTGCACAAAAATATATATATTGGGATTGTTCTGAACTGCAGTTTATACAAGTTTAGAAATGTTGTAAATGTTGGGTAATTGGTCATATTTGACTCATATTTGCTGTCTTTCATGCTTCTTTTATTCATCTTCTGTTGTTACAGGAAGAGGAACCTCCTGAAGAAGGATGTGGAGGTCGGTGTGAACATACACAAACGCGCGCACACACACACACACACACATACATACAGTACATAAATACAATAACTATACAAGTATGTGCGGTATAAACCAAATGAGCATAACTGTAACTGTTGATATGCAGTTTGTGCATAATCAGTGCAATGTCATGTGAGCATAACTGAAGTTGTCTGCCTATCTGCAGTGCCTGCTAGCTGTACTGGCGTAAAGAGCTGGATTCTTCGCATCCCCCATGCTTCCACATGTCTGAGCAGCTTACATCTGCTGAAAAACAATAATGTTCCTCTGCCCAAGATGCCCTCCGATCTCATGCTGCTATACCAGGAGATGTCCCAGCTCCCAAAACAAGCCAACCAGTGCTTCCAGAATGTTCTCCACCGCCTCAACATCCTCAAGCCCATGTAGAACCCCTCAGCAGCAGCATGTAGTCTTGGAGTTAGAATTTGTAGCTAGTGGATTTTATTCTTAAAACATCCCATGCTGAAGTGCCCTAAAATCCAGATCATCCCATGCTTGACAACTATAGACATGACTTTGAAGTGCCCTGCAGTTACAGAAAGACGCCAAACCTGCAGCAATCTCTCAGGTGAACTGCCCGTGCTAGATAGTGCTGTGCTGTGCTGTGCTGTGCTGTGCTGTCTGTTGTGTGCCAGTGATATATTGCTAATGCAAGTACCAGTGTTACTATAGTTCACACTTAAGGTTATGGCTTTTTCCAAACTCTACCACATAGTGTGCGCTATTGACATGAATGTTGCCTCAGATCTTGCATCCTGTTGAGGAGAAATGTGCTAGACAATAAAAAGAGTGAAAAACCCCTTATATTGACAGTGTTGTGAATATCACAGAGATCTGGGGGTCTTTTGACTTGCACATATTTAGGCACCTAAATGTAATAGAGAGCAGGGATCGACAGTGCAAGCATTTCATTTGTGACTAAAAAGGTGTGTGCAAAATGTAAAATGCATTTAGGAGAGTGTGTGCAAATTAGAAAAATTCCC